CAGAGAGCTTGGCATTCGAGTTTAGGGCTTTATTCCGCGAGCTTGAGATTCAGGGCTTCAGGGATGTGAGGTTTTAGAGTGGACGAGCGCCTCGAGCATCTGGCTGGGCCAAGACGACGATCACGAGCATAATGACGACGACGACGATGACCGATTAGTGGAAGAGAAAAAACATGAACATGAGGCTGATCATAAAAGAAAAATTGTGATGATGATGGCTCTGAAGACGACGATGACGACATCGACGACGATGACCATGACCATGACGATGACAATCATGCTGGCCATGACGACGACGATTCTGCTGGTGGTGCTGGTGATGATGGTGTTGGTGATAACGATGGTGGTCAGCCCACACCCCCAGTTAGATAACCCTAATCAGACCATTCTCGGACATCTCGAACCCTTCACAGATGATCAAGCATCCGGGTCTGGCTGTCGTTGAAAGGCACTCGGTATCAAGGCCGCTTACCTCATCAAACTGACCCTTTTGTTTATGGCAGCCTCTGCCCATGCACTTTGTAGGGCACGGGCACGTAGCCGGCTCGTCCGAAGGGCGGCGAGAAGATCTTCCTTTCAAGCGCTTGGGTTTAGGGTTTAGGGCAAAGCTGTTGTGGAGACTGAACCCCCGCCTCTTTTAGTACTTCGTCGTGCTTTCACGAGCTTTAAAAAAGAAGGGTTGCACAAGGCTTATTCTGGGAGGCGAAAGAATTCTTGGTGTTGTCTGACGGGCCCCAAATGTTTTTATGAACAACCTCAATCCTAACATCGTCCATGTTCCGAAATATCTAAGCCCCAAACAGTTGAACTAGTGCTCGACTACAGCTGTGGCGAGTTCCGGTGGCAGAATTCTCGCTGACATGTGTTCGAAGGCTTCTTGAGAAAAGGATCACTTCGGCTTTGGTTTCGGGGAGCCTAGGGGCCAACGTGGAACTTCCGAACCATCAGACGAAAAGGTGTTGGGGGAGGATCTCTTGCTACGATGATGCCGGGGAATCCTCAAGAGCTCTACGGTTGATGATATAAATCCTAGGGTTCCTTTAAGGGGAGCTATAAGGGTACCTTTAAGGGGCTCCTTTAAGGGATCCATAGGGATTTAGGGTTTAGGGATAATATAAATCCTGCATTACCCATAATAAGGAATTTACCATAGTTCCCATAGTTTAGGGTCCTTAAGGTAATGCAGGATTTATATCATCAACCGTAGTGCCAATGGTTAAGGCCCCTCTACCAGGAAGAACTGGGACACCAGAGTACAAGAACAACAACAACATTTGTCGGGCTCCCCATGTTGAGTTCCTTACGTCTCCGCTTGAAACTCTAGGTTTCGGGTGGCCTTGCGGTGCTTGCGTCGGACTCTTGGGTCCAAGTCAAACCTGAAGGCCTCAATGCTTGGAGAGCTCTGCAGGTCCACTGAACCCCCGAAAAGCTCTAAGTCCGACACCCCAAAACCTACACCCTAAAACCCTGACGCCTACACCCCCGAAGCCCTAAACCACCCTATTTTTTGTGGCATGTCATGCTACAGATGGAACAAGGAATGCTGTAGGGAATAGTACGGGCATGTGCCGGATGTCTTTGTGCAACGTCCCCGCCTTTTCGGCCCGCAGACGCCGGAGCCGCTTTTGCCTGCGCTCGGCAGATGCCGTGTTCGGCGGCCTCAGTATCAAGCGAGTTCGGACTTGGGCTTCTAAGTTCTAAGGCCAGCGATTTAGTAGCTTCGGGCTTGCAGGATATCCACGTCTATAGGCTGAGGGTCAGGAGATGTTAGATTTATTTAGGGAGTAGGGCTTGGAGGGTCATGAGTTTCGGATAGGTTTTTTGTTTAAGTGCAATGGCTCGGGTAGGGTTTACGGCTTAAGCTGCTGGGGCATGTTGCACTAGAACTGAACTCACAGTCTTGCGCCTGAATCGGGACGAGCAAGCTTGTCGAAGCTTTACACCCTGACACCTCAAACCCAATGGGATTCCGTTTTGGTCAAGCACGCTGGGTCCCCATCATGGAGTACGAGTCTGGGAGGCTCATGGCCATACACTCAGGGTTTAGGGTTCAGGGTTTAGGGTAAGCGCACAGGATTTGGAGCCCCACAGGCACATCAGGGCACTACTGGAGTGTTGGGGCCTGTGGCGCCTGGTTCGTGGGAGTTTGCGACTTTGACGCATCACGTCTTTGTCCAGATCGTGATCGTTCAGTCGGTATGTGAGCACGGAACCCACAAGCCCAGTCACTGTTGAAGCCACAGTCGTCAGGCCATAGTAAATCCCTTTTCGGGCTCCGTGCTATTTTCAAACAGGAAAAAATCGCCGCGAAGACATCTGCCCGTAACCCGGGTGCCCGCACATTGTGCAGTCCTGCGGCTTAGATCAAATTGGGGTTGCTGCAGGCGTAGAATCTACAGGGTTTCGGGCTTTCTGGGGGCCGGTCGTGATCCTCGAAAAAGTTGAGAACTTAACGGATGCGGATAGTGTTCAGCTGCAGGGAAACAACAGCATCGCAATTCTTCAACTTCACAATAGATGGTCGGTTTGGGCCCTAAGCCTTGAACCCCAAAACCCGAAAGTAAGTGAGCCCGTCCAGGTTCATCGTGCTGCAAGCCTAAGCTAGCCAGTCACGCTGTGCACCTGGGTGGAAGCATCCTCGAGCTCAGAATGAGGCGTCGGATGATCAGAACTCGGAACTCATGGGTAGCTACAAGCTAAGATATCAGCACCTTAACTGGTGGCAGAAGTAGTTGAAGCTGTCGGTACCCCTCATAACCCCACTTATATACAAGTCCCCTGATCTTTTAAGACTGCTCGAAGGGCTCCAAAGGCGGGATGAAGGTAGGTGGGCTGATCCTCCATTCAGAGGTCATATGCAAGGGATCCTTCATCCTACCTTTTGAAGCCCTTGAGACTTTAAGTCAGGATGAGGAGTTGCAAATGGGAGGCAGAGCCGAGGACGAGCCGAGTCTCGAGAATGCCTTGGATGACCCGGGAGGCTCAAGTACATTGTCACGAGTATGCCGGGTGCGAAGTGCTGAGTGCTGATGTAGTGCTGCTGCCGTGCTGCCGTATTGCCGTGCTGCTGCTCCCTGGTGCTGCTCGTGCCGCTACGTAGGCTGATGCTCAGGTGCTGGTGGTGCCGACGCTGCTGCTGACGCTGTTGCTGGTGCTGGAAATGATGCTGACGATGGCAGCAGCGACGGCAGCCACGGTGAAGATGACAGGGATGGTGAGGGTGGGTCTTGGTACCCCAAGACCGGTGCAGTATACAGCTGTACTAGCAACTACTTCGAGCATGGAATAAGGTTTCATGTCCACGTCTTGCAAAAGTGAAACCCGGGCAACGAATTCCCACAAGTCCCCCGGCGGACCTTCTCCTCAGCGCCTGAAGAGACGGAGGCTACATGGCCACCTGCCACGACTTGGAACTAGACACTCTGACCCACCGAATCCATCAAAGTCTTCCCATCTCGTGCCGTCGAGGTGTCTCGCGCCTTATCGCTTGGCAAATGAGATTGCAAGCCGACTTCAAGCTGGTTCCCTGGAACGGTGTCCATCTTGAAGCACCAAATCTGATATTGCAAACCCTCGATGCCGGATGCCAGGCAAGGGTTTAGCTAGCATTTGGGGTTTTGGATTCGCTTTATGGTGCAGCGTTTCAGGCTCGTGCACCCCTTGCAGCTGCAGACGAGAGGGATGCGGAGGCTACCAAACAACGGAAGACAGAAGGCTTCAACACATTCGCTTCAAGTCGCGGGGACTCGAACAAACAAAAGGTTTAGGGTTTGGTCTTTGCGAGCAGGGTCTGGGGCGCTAAGGTTTGTGTAGGTTTGGGGTTCAGGAAACTTACGAAGCAAGTGAGACTGTATCGATGCTACGCAGACAGGCTCCTCGACACATGCCATGTAAACAAACCTTCGCGAAACTTTAGTCATAGAACCAAACATACATGGTGCCGTTGCGTCCAACCTCAACCCGAATAGCCTCCCACGGCCCACCCTGAGACCTCAAACCCCCGACCCTAAACTCAGAAAGCCTAAAACCTAAACCTAAATGCCCAAACCCTGACTTAACCCTTGACCTCAAAAACGAGGCCTCCACCCCGAGCCCTGCTACAGACGACAAGCCCCAAAGCCCCTGGGCACCTGCGTGCCGGGGGCGCTGTGTGGGCGACCCGGCCATTTCCCCCATTTGCAGGGCCAGGCTCGACCGGCGGAATGCATTCAGGAGGTATACTACAGGGGCCTTAATAATTAGAATAGGGTTCCTTTTCAAAGGGTCTATAAGGGATCTATAAGGGTACTATAATACAGGGGCCTTAATAATTAGAATAGGGTTTTGCGGGCCCATTATACTATGGTTATAACAAGGAACCCTCAAAAATTGTATAGGTATTAATTAAGAATTGAGGCCCCTTAGTAGGCTGCTTGTAGGTTTCGGGCCGTTTATTGGGTTTTCACAGTCTCGTTGTAAAGGTTTGTTTATAGTGTTTGTGAAGCTTTAGTTTGGGGTCCTTAACAGTTAGAACATGGTCCCTTCACGGGTTCCGCTTAGTGGCGTGCGAAGGTTTGGGGTATGCAGCTTTTAGCACTTTAGTGGAGGGCTCCAGGGTTGTAGGGTGCAGGTTTCGGAACCTTCTGGGGTTGGGGTTTGGTTTAAGGCTTGGTATGCGGGGCTCACTGCTGATGGGTGAAGATGCAGCTCGTTTGCGGTTGGGGTTCGGGGCTTCAGCAGGACGACAGGAGTAAGTCGACGCACCAGAATAAGTCAAGCAAGACGAACAACAGCTTACGCTGCAGGCTGGGCTTTGTGGGCCCTGATCCCAAAACTCTGCACCCCAAGCCCCACAGCCCCAGCCCCTGAACCCAAATTCCCGTGAGAACGCGGCCTTTCTGCACAAGCTGGCAAGGGATGATCCAGAGTTCGGATTTGAGGGTGAGTGGAATTTACAACCCAAGAACCCTCAACTCCTGAACCTTGAAACCTGAAGCCCAAACCCCCAAGCCCCCAGAACCCTAAGCCATAAAGCCTAAACCGCCGGCTTCAGGATCCAAGAGGTCTGGTAGCAACATCTCACCCTTCGCCAGCGCAGGGCAGTCCGGAATCACCGGCTCCTCTTTCAAGATCACCGCCTCTGAGAAGATGCGTTTTCAAGGGTTCCTATAAAGGTTTCAAGGAGGACTTCAGGGGAGTTTAAAGGGTCTTCTAGCAGTTTGGTACCTACCTTCAGCCCTGAACCTTACAAGCCTGCCCTAAACCCCAAAACCCTCGCTTCGCTAGGAGCAGGAATGGGCTGAAGGTGTTTCCGCCCTGGGCTCATCTCAGGAGATTCAAAGCTTCAGGGGCGATAGCTGCCCCAACCCTAAAAACCAACCATTGAACCCGGAACCCTGAACTCGACATCCCGAATCCCTCCCTTTGAGCTCGGATTTCCAGGTTCAGATTTTAGAAAAAGCTTCATGATCAGCATCCGCCAGCTCCGCCCTTTGTGGAGGAGCCGGTACTGTCATCACATCACCCTCACCGTCGTTTCCCAACATGACCCGTCGCACCCCTCCTTCGGTGGGATCTGGACATCGCTGTCGACCAAAGATCCGTGCTGTTGGGCTGCAGCGGGGCCTCGGATTCGGGATCGTAAACCTTTCATGATGTGAGTTTCAGTAGTACTACTAGTTAGGAGTTGGGTCGAGATGGGAATACAAAGTGGGAGTCAGGATCGGAGAAGTAGCAGCAGTCATGACTGCCTCGCCTATGACACTACCAGGCAGCCTTCGTGGGTGGCCATTGGTAGCAAGCTAGGGGCTCCGGAATTGGCTTTTTGATTTGGGGAGTCGGGAGTTAAAGCTGTCCGTGAGAAAACGCAGAGCAGCACAGCCTATTTGAACGAGCCTGAGGGTTGGAGGTCCGGAGTGAAAGAGTGGCCTACTCGTCCCGGGATGCACAAGAGGACTCCAATACAGGGAATTGCTGCCTCCTTGGCTGATTTGGGGCAGAATGCAATTTAGGGTTCAGCACTTCCGGCTTGGGGCTCATGAGGTTTATGGAGTTCGGAGTTTCGGGCAATGTACTTGTAGGCTTCCGCGCCCAACAACAGCAACGCCATAAATTCGATGAGCGACAGACCCTGTGCCCGCGACATTGGCTGCGCAGAAAGTTCTCTGGATTGTCCAACTGCTCATTCACCATCGGAAAATGGGCCTTGTCGGCTTGAAACTGCGAGACAAGCCTGGCCTAGCTCTGAATCTGAACCTGCAATGCAGGACGCGCGGGTCTCCCAAAAATCCTAAACCATAACCCCTGCTGGTAATTTAAACTCATGGGGCCTGAATAGCGCGCTTGGCTGCTTCGATGGTGAGGATGTACATGCCTGGGAAGACGAGGGCACGTTTCAAACTATTGTCACACTCACGGCCAGCAACTTCACTTAAAGTAGGCTGACGGGAACCTCGGTTCAGAAAAAACTCTGGCAGGGAAGGAATAATAGGTTTGGAGTTCTGGATTGAAGCCAGTCTACAGCGCCCTAGCCCGGGCATGTTGGCTTGAGCATATCAGAATCATGCTACTCTTGTAGTATTAAGTACTATTGTTGTTACCACTGCCATGCCTAGTCTTGCTGCTATCCCCGCCAGTTGGGTAAGTCGGGTTTGGCTTGGGCACGGTGCCTGTATTGTAGCCGGTCCCCGCCAGGATGTGCAGTGGCGGGCGGCTCTGCTGGGGACAATCGCCCCCTTGGATTTGAAGGTAGTCCCAGTCTTTCCTTGCATGCTCAAGCTTCACTGCTCTTCAACACGGTGCACCGGCTCCAAAATCCTTAATCTCTAGGCCACCCAAAGAACCCTTGCACCCAAACCCCAAAGCCCTAACACAAAAAATAAAAATAAAAATAAACGAAACGCCAACCGCCGCCCAGCATCCCGGGCGCGGGAAGCTGAGAATTCCCCAGCTGCCCAAAGAGTGCCTCGAGCCCAGGGTGGAAGAACCTGAAGTTAGGGTAACATAAGGGCTGCTTATCACTAGATTAAGGTCTTCGAAAATATCATGTGGTGGGGTTCAGAATTTCAGAATTTGGTTTTGGAGGTGTTGTAGTGTACAATTACATGGGGAGCTTAGGGTCATGAAAACTTTCTTCTCTTTTCATAGGGCTTGTAAAAGAGCTGCATAGGGTTTCATGGAGGTTGCTTGGGCGATCGAGTCTTGTGGTTAAGTTTTTGGGTTTTAGGAGTTTTAGGTTTGGGTCTTGGGGCTTGCAGGGCTTTGGGCTAGTCTCAGCGTAGGTTTTGTCCAGTTTCCTTTAAGGGTCCTTTACACCATGCGTCGCATTTACCCTTCTGAAAGCGTTCATGTAGGGAGGTTGGGCTTTATAAGGTTATAGTAGAATCCAGAAAGTTGGAACATCAATATCCTCATGCCCTTAAGGTGAGCATAGGGGATCTCAGCACCAATCCTCCTAAACCCATGTTCCAGCTTTCTGGGGTTCACCGTAAGTATTGGGGAACGTTGGGTAAATGGAGTTTTCGCATCAAGAGGCTACGAATGCTCTCAGGGTACAGGGTTTGAAGGAAGGTGCAGGCTTCGGCTGCTTAGGCTTAATTTAGGATGTGCAGTTGGAGGTTTGCGCTTTCGAGTCTGGGTTCAGGATTTGTCTCTTTGGGTCGCGTTTCAGGTATAAGCCGTGAACCTGCTTGCAGTGGACCTGTCGAAGGCAACGATGCTACTGCCACTGTGGCATACACCTCCAATATACGAAGACAAGTAGGTTTAGGTACTTTCGGGCTTGGAGCCTTCGGAACTTCCCCATCTAAAGCTTCAACCCCACTAATCCCCTAAACCTTAGGCCCTTCAAATCAACCCTTGAAACTTCGTCCGCCGAGATGCATCAGGTCATCCTCCATGAAGATGCCCCAGGGTGCCTCGAACAGGAGCTAGGGTTTGAGGTTTAGGGTGCAGGTTCCTTGGGGTCTAGGGCTCAGGGGTCTTTGAGGCAGGGAATTTCACCTTCGGGTTGAATGGTTTACGGAGTTCTGCTGAAGCGTGCATGGTTTTCGGCTTGAGGGTTGACTTGAAGGTCTGAACCTGATGTTCTCTGGACGTCGTCATGCATTCTGGACGGGCCAACAAGTGTAATTGTAAAAGCTCAACCAATACCAGGCAGGGCACAACATTGTGCACACACAACACGTACACAAACACTTTCGAGAAAGAGCCTCCGGTAGCACATGTCAACTTGCTGTAGTCAACACGTTTGTAGCTGTGCCCAGCATCTGTAAGCTTCGTTGGCACGCCAACGGTACCAAACCCTTGCACTGACTTGCTTCGGGTGATGCGACGTCTGCGCATCCCGAGTATCAGGGCAGTCTGGCTGAACAAACGAAATCAGCAGGCTCTACCTGGAGCATGATTACATTATCTCTTGTATGGCCTTGGGTTTTGCATGCATGATAACTGCACAGCCCATTGTTTCCATGACTATGATCACGAATGCCATCACAATGAACATGTCGAAAGCGTTTTATCACAGAGTGAATAGTAAGAGCATTGATAGCCAATGTCATCATCACCATCGTCAGCATCATCACATCATCATCGTGATAAACAACCATGGTAATCATAATGATCATGTATATATGGATACTCTGTCAGTTTCAATGTTAAAACTGACATCTGAATTTTTGTGTACAAAATAGCCTTCGCATTAACATTGGCATTAGCAGTGGCATTAACAAAGATAACAGCACTAGCAACTAGTATTAGAAAGAAGAAAATGCAGAAAGACTAATAACAAAAATGTTACATAATCTCAGAAGTAATAAACAACGGCAGCCAACAAGAATAAAACAACGGTGATCAGAATAGTTCATCATGTCAGATTGAGCCCTGAGCCCTGAGGCTGCCTTGGACTGCACTAAGTGCTCCCACATCCGAGCATGGCCCACGATGAGGGCCACGGCCCCCTGAAAGCGACTCCGGGATTACGGTTTCTCATTTGCGAAAAAATCACGGACAAGAGGGATGAGGAGTTCTGTAGTTGCCTTAGTGAGGCTTGGGGCTTGGGTATGCTATGGTAAACTCTTTACAGACTATAATGGGATACCGTTACTGAATCTTCCGGGAGCCAAAATTCACGAAACAGGGTTGCGGGAGTAAGTATACAGGAAGGCGTAAGGATGTAGATTTGGGATCTCGGTTGCCAAGTTCAGGATGCAGGGTTAAAGCATAGCATCGCAGAGCTTCGGAAGGCAAGTATGCAGGATCTCATTGCACATGGGTCACTTGAGGTAAAGAGCTAGGTGTCTCGGGCTTCGGGCAGTGGATTTTGAGTTTGGCTTTCGGTTTAGGGCTCAGGGCTTTTTAGGGTTTAGGCATCAAGCTTTGGGATCGAAGGCTTTGGCTTTGGGATGGTTTATGCCTTGGGATTGGAAGATTGAATTATCCACTGCCTGACATGCAGCTTGGCATGCGGGACTCAGAAGCAGGGATTCAAGCAAGATCCGAGTATGTACCCAGAGACTCCAATATCCCTTAATTAAGGAATATACCTTGAACCATAGTAGGGATCCTACTATAATTTAAGGTATATTCCTTAATTAAAGGATATTGGAGTCTCTGGGTACCCAAAACTGCTTAGGACCCGTGGTTGGCATCGAGAGGCAAAGCTTCCACAGAGACCCTGTATGGACTTGGGGACTGACGCTTCGTGGGTATGGTGGAGCCGTTGAACCCTGAAACCCAAACCCTGAACCGCAACCTCAAATCCCAAACCCGGAACCGTGAAACCTCGTACCTCTCACTTGGAGGTTCATGGGTAGTTATAAGTAGGGTTATAAGTAGGGTAACTATACTTATAGCCCCTTTTAGGGGACTTATAACCCCAGTTATAACTACCCGGTTACTACCCATGAACCTCCAAGTACCATAGGCCCAAAGACGCACGAGTCGGTGGCCTTCGTGAGCGGACCTCCAAGCGTGGCCATCTGCTTCCGGTCTCGCTCAAGTGCGAGTCGCCAGAGCCACTCGGGAACCAAGGACTCCTTCATACACTGTCAGGGTTTAGGCTTCAGGGTTGAGGGATTGGTTTAGCGTCGAATCCGGAAGCGCGACGGTTTAGGGTTTCCCGTACTTCAGGCATGTCGCTGCGAACCCTAAACATAGAGGAGATCTGTATAATGGCTTTGTAGGGGAATCGGTCTCGGCCGACAACGACACCCTTGATCCTTCAGGTGCTCGCCAAAGGCGCGGCCGTTTGGAGCGGAGACACGGCACGTCTTCGGAAAGAGCCACGGAGCCTGTCGCAAATTGGTGGCTTCACGCTGAGGGTGTCGAGGAACTCCCTAGGATTGAGTTTCAATGATGTTTCGCAGCGCTCCGCAATTGCCACGAGTTTGCTCAGGATGTCGATCCGGCAATTTTCGTCCAAGCAGTTCGGCTCAAGACTCGGGCGCGGGAGACAGCCGTGGAGTGAATGTAGCCCCTGTTCTTTAAAAAGTTCTGCCACGAACTTCAGTGCAACCTTTCCTGCATGCTGTAGATCCTCTTGTCAGGAAGTGCCACACAAGGCTTGAAGCCAACCCCTGCAAACGCACATGACCCATAGCCATAGCCGCAAAAGCTTGCATGCAAGCTAGCTCTAGCGACAGCTGTGCAACTCATTAGCTGGGCTCTGGAGAGTCCCTCTGGCGGAAACAGTGCATGATGCTCTCGAGAGCTTGTGGGCTCACTCGCCCTTGCAGTTTCTCCTGAACTTTGGCCGCGACTTCCAGCATCATGTCTTCCGGAGGATTGTTGGAATCGACCTCGATTACATTGTCATGATTGCCAAGAAACTCGTCGTACGCACAGTAGAGCCTCTGCAGATACTGTAGCGGCATGTTTTTCTCAAACTCACGATCCTCAGCATCTGCACGAGCATTGATTCGCCCGAGGGCGACTTCAGTCGACAGCCTGAAGTATAGGATGAGATGAGGACGAAGTGAGGGATCTGACATGTATCTGTTGTATGCCTTTAGGAAATATTCCCGCTGCCCCTCTGTGAGAAGACCATCCTCGGTACCAACTTTGCAGAATACAAGGGCTGTGGAGCCAAGCCCCCTCTCTGTGAAGGTGTGTGTCCGACGCTCTGTTGCTATGCGGAAGTGGTGCTTCCAAACCTTTCGTTGGAATTTGAAAGCTGCGTCGACTTTCTCCTTCTGCGTGCCCTCCTTCATGACATGGTAGAAGTTGTCCAGATCATGCCACCATGTTTCTGGCTCGTCCTTGCACACTGGCTCGTGAAAGAACTGAACCTCCTCCGATGAGCCCGATGAATTCTTTCGCAACTTATGAAGGAAAGTTGTCTTGCCACAGCCGATCAAGCCATCCAGGACGATCAAGCCCTTTCCATCCCTCGCCGAATCTTGCGCAAGTCCTGATTGCAAAGACCAGCTCGGAGTCCATCCCATTCCCGTTGCTAGGTACTCACCGGGCTTTGTACTTCGGCGGGCTGCCTCGGCCTCGACTGCACGGCGCAACGCGTAAAAGTCCTCGTCTCCCCATCCCGAGAGACTCGCAAGGTCATTGTCAGCCACGCCAAAGCGAAGACTCGCCTCACTCCTTCTTGTGATGATGTAGCGGCACTTCCGCGGATGCTCCACGCGGTAGTCTGGCCTTTGCGTGCGCTCACTGCGGCGCATCACCTCGTCTGTGACGAGTTTGGTCATTTCCTCAGGCCCTAGGTCGAAACGTTGTGCAAAGGTTGCGATGGCAGTTGAAAAGAACCCGTTGTCTGCCACTGCGAAACCAGATTCTCCTGCTGTGTATACCCAGACTTCGTGATTATGCTCGTATGCATCAGGAAACCCGAGTTTCCGGTCTAGCCGACCACGAGGGCTGGAAACGCCTGTTTCAAGGTCAAGAATCTTCTCGATTGCTTCCATATTCATTGGTCCCCGTTGACTAGAAGGCAGCTGGCACATATCGAGAGTGAAGATATGCAGTCCATCCCTGCGAATTTTCCTCACACTGTCGATCACACTCTTGAGCCTGATGTTGTCGGCATTCCTTTTGGAATCCACCGGCACAAGGTGGACCTCGCCATCATACAAGGTACCATGTCCCGAGAAATGGAACCATGTAAAATCGGCATCGGATTCAGACAAGTTGTCAATCTTGTCCCACATGCAGTTTCGGTCCAGGTTTTCGAACGGCTCGGCATCCGGGAACTGTCCGACCTTCAGTGCCTCCGCAATGCTTACCGCATCCTTGATGCAGTTGTCAAGCTTCACATGTGGGGCGTGCCTGTAGTCGTTGTTGCCAATAATCAACGCCTTACACTTGTTGAACTCACAGAGCTGATACTGAAGCCGAACCAGAATGTGTCGTCCTTGCGGCCTCGCTTCCGCAACTGGCATATCGGCCAAGTCTGCTTCATGCTCGCTCTGTGCCTCTGGCTGTGCCTCTGGCTGCGCCTCTCCTCCTAAGATCGTACCCATCAGGCGTTGGATTGAAACGATGTCGAACTGCTCCAGCCGACTTGTGATGATTATGCATGGAACGGTTACCAGTATTCAAGTGGATGCCCCAACGAAGCAAAGCCATCCAACACTAGCTAGAACATGCCCACTCAAGGACTTCGAGCTGCAACCGCAGAGTAAGGTGGATGCTGGGCGAAGACTCTCTCTCAAAGGCATTCGATTGTGTCGAGCACGGCAGTCTGGGTAAATAGAACAATGCTATCCATGTTTCCCATCCGGCACCAATTAATCTAATTCCTAACACAGACTTCTTCTACGAAAGCTGCCCTGCTAGAGCAACAGTACCCCAAAGTCTGGGGCCAGAACTCCAAAGCCGAAAGCCTGTCTAGCGCTAACGGCTCCAGAGGGTAGGCACAAGCACTCTGAAGGGCCCTCTTGGCCTCGTTTTTCTTTTCATAACAAACCTTCAACTGCCCTTGCCCTTCTGTTGCATCATCTGTTCAAAAACACTCTGCATACTGAGCGAAAAATGGTTTCTGCTACATTCTAAGCAGAAAACAGAAAGCTTATGAAACGTCAGGGGCCTTGCAGAGAACACAGAAGCCCTTTGAAGGCTGCCTGTCGGGTTTGCGAAGCTCTGGGGGAATTTAACTTGGAGTGTAGGAGCTTACACATACTCCAACTCCAATCCCCCACCCTCTTGGAGGTTCATGGGTAGTTATACGTACGGTTGTAAGTGGGGTAACTATACTTATGACCCATATTAGGGGACTTAGAACGCTACGTATAACTACCCATTAACCTCCGAGCTGCGCCCGTGACCCGGACTCAGTGCCTGCTGGTGCAACGCACGAGAGATGTTTTGGAGTCGATCGGCTCGCCGATCCAGATTCAGCACGAAGGCTGGTATGACGGGCATCTTGCGGCAAGGTGGTAGGTCTAGGGTTCCGGAAAGAGAATGCACGAAATCAGCCTTGAGAATTGATCTTGTAGCGTCTGGAGGGTGCGGGGGTGTTTGCCGAACCGTGCTTCTGCCATTTGGGCTGCACGCTTGGGGGTTGAATCTCGAACTCCGGCTCTGGCACTACGACTTTACTGCCGAGCTTGAGGAATCCTGGGGCTCTCTTGACCAGAAGAACAGGATGGTTAATGCTACATCGAACACTCAGTTCACAAGATCCATCGCGGTGACGGCTATGATGCATTCTTTTGCCCGGTTCCAGGGAGAGATCAAAAACCAGCTGAAGCCCGAGTCACACAAAGCCATTCCCCTCAAGATCAGACGCACTTCTCGAATCTTGGAGCTGAATCACAAAGAAACGCTGAAGCCCGGAACCACTTGGAGACCTTGAAATTAGCTCTAATCTTCTGGGCACATACAGTTACAAACAAACATGCAAGCTTACATGCATTACTATGGTCGTGCATACATATATAACTACGTGCAGACATACAAACATGTATACATCTTTTTCCTTCCGTACCATTGCATTTACGTTGCATCACAACACAACATACATACATACATACATACATACATACATACATACATACATACATACATACATACCTACATACCTACATACCTACATACCTACATACCTACATACCTACATACCTACATACCTACATACCTACATACCTACATACCTACATACCTACATACCTATGTACATACATACATCCATCATACATGCGCGCATACATGGTCCAGGGTCCAGGGCTGCTCCAACCCCCGCACCCCCCCCCTCCCCAGGCTGTCTGCGACAACAGTCACAGGGATCCAGCGCTTTTGGGGCCACGATCCTAGTGACAGTCCTCGTTTGCGGGGGATGGGCTTACCGCGATGTAAAACTGCCGAGAGTCGCCAGGATTGGACCGTTTGGTGTTACGTCTCCGCTGACTCTGGCAAGAATGTCGCATCTCAAACATGGCGACGTTGAGGGGGCACGTAGCCATGGTCTGCACGATGGTGTTTGCTTTTTGTCGCGGCAGGTTGCGTCGCAGACACGGTTCGCACCGGAACAGGAACTACCCCCCAAACCACAGGGCACAAGGAGGCGACAGGTGTCAATGCAATGATCAGCGTCTGTGCCAAAGAGCGACAAGCGCACGCCCGGCAATGCAAAAAAACACAGAAGCCGCCACCTGCAGTGTAATCGGATTTGCAATAAAGGCGACAATACTGCTTCTGTAGGTTTGCTAGCTGCCCAGCAGCCAATCCAATGTAACTACAACATGCACAACATGCGACGAGTCTTACAGCTTCTGCGTGGCATGCTGGAGCAGACACACAACACTTGGACTTAAGCTTGAAGGTCCGGCGTCCGCCCCACAGGGAGGGTGGGGAGAGACAAAGAAGCCGAGACCAGGAACCCATGCAAGACTACAGGTACCAGTCCAAGGGAGGACGGGGGGGAGGCAATACAATGGCGTCGGGGGCTCAGGACTTGCATCATGCACACATCAACTACATGTGCACACTGCACTCATAAACCCATACATACATGCACACATACATACATACATACATACATGCATGCATACATACATACACACATACATGCATACACACATACATACGTACATACATACATACATACATTACATATGCTACATACATTTACATACATTACAAACCGACGCTGCAAAAATACGTTACATACACGCATGCAATCATGACTGCAAAACATGCAATCCTTCCTTCATTCATTCATGCATATAATACCTGCATATACACAGACACATACATACATGCATACATGCACGCATGAATACGTGCATGCATACATACTTTACACTGCACACGTGCATGTCATACATACCTGACATAACAGACATGCCTACAAACGTTCGTTCAGACGTACATACATACAAAATACATGCATGCATGAATACAGCGCATACATCACATACGTTACATGAATTACACACATTACGTACATACATGACAAACAAAACTTATGTTGCATGCACTACAAACACCTGGACTTGCACACGTTACCCACAAAACCGTACAAGACTTACATACCTACATACATGAATACATGCATACACGCAGGCATTATTTACATACATGCATACATGCATACATGCATACGTACATACACGCAGGCAGGCACGCACGCAGACAGACAGACATGATGTGTACATACTGGGTCTGAGTATACATACACAGACGTGCATTTCCAGTTGTATATAGCAAAATCATTCAAGCTTGTGCAGCGTAACGTCTTTGCTTATACTAATACTTCCACTTAAATTCACAATAGTCTATGCAGGCTTGCGCCTTCGTCGGAGGCTCCGGAAGAGGAGATACGTGGGGCTGGGTCAACCTCCTTTCCGAAGCGACTTGTGTTGGGCTCACCCGTATCTTTCTTCTGAACTGCGAGCTGTTCCTTCTTACAAGCAGTGTTCGTCGACTTCGTCGTTGTCGTCGTCCTGGTTCACCCGTTGCTCCAGTAACAGAAGCAGTACTACTATGACTAACAATGATGCTAGCCAGAACCATACCGTTCGATACTACTGACTACTTAAGTACTGCCTGTTACAAGTACCTGTTGTTGCCATGATCGTCGGCGGCGGTGGCGCCGCGGATGTTTTCTGTGTTTTCTGAAGGCGCTGCTATGTCTTTATCATTCACTTCTCGGTACGGCTGCTGCTCTTCGCCACTGGTTCGATTCTGCTCGATGGCTGCGATTCTGGCTCGCGACTATGACTCCAACAGAATCCGCTAATGTTGTTGTGACTTTGTCTACTTCTGCGATTTGGCCACAACTGGCATGTGTTGTACATCTCCACAGAGTTACATCTAGCTTGCCCATCTTGTTCGGATGCTTCGTCTCGCTGCCTAAAGTATTACTGTAGCAAATTGCCGTTGTCGTCGTAGTGCGGAGTTGCTGGCTTCCCCGCTATTGACAGAGTTCCAGTGACAGGAGGGGGAGAGTCGGGACGAGGAAGCTTGAGCGTGCCCAGGCTATGGAGTTGGGATTTGGACTTGGGCCTGTCTGTGGGAGTGGAATGAGAATGTTTGCCCTCGCAGGAGGCCTCAACTCGAGAAGCTGCTCAACCAGACCGAACGTAACGTCAGCATGCTCGCTGTCCTAATCGAAGCCCGTAAAGTAGGTAACATTTACAAGTGCTAGGTTGGCGAGAAGTTTTTCGGCTCAAGGGGCTGATGTCACCGAATCCAGTCCAACCCAAATACCCCCCCGGTGCAACCCCAAACCTTGGGTCACGAAGCCCCGATCCCAAACTCATCCACTGTTCAATCAAGCACAAGGGGCCAGTAGAAGAAGAAGAAAAATGCGAGACCTTGCTGCTACACTCGGCCACAGATGAGATGAAGACTCAGGAAGCCGACGGACGAGGCTTTGAGGGAAGGATCAACTCGCGCGCGAAGGGACGCAGCTGGAGTTTTGGGGGATGAGAGAAGTTCGGCCCCCTAATTTGTGCAGTTTCTTACATGGCTATCAACAGAACCCGGAAAGTTGGTAGACACAGGAAGCAAATCTTCTCCTGATATTTTGCGAAGTCCAAAAAAGTTCGTCCTTTAAACTCTCTGGAACACACGAGGCTCAAAGCCGAGAGCCTGCACCAGGGAGCCTGTGCCCGAAATGAAAAAATTGGCATGTAAGCCCGAAGCCAAGCCCCGAATCCTTTATCAACCTAGACCCCTCCAAAAAACCCAACCCCCAAACAGTCAACAAGTCCGTGACCCTTCCCTGAACCTTCTGGTTCCTAGCAGGGAATAGGGGAATGGGCTGTGGGGACTACTATGGAGGATTATATAGAGGCTACTATAGGGATCCGTTCCCCCATGACCTACTAAGCACCAGACCTGCACTTTGAAGTAACCAGGGAGAAACAAGTATAGACTTGTATTTCACAATGGTTCCTGTAAGGAACAGGTACCCGAAAAAGTATTCAAGAATGGTACTCCAAACCCAGGAGACAATCAATGGAAACAGACCAGCTGCAAAGGGCCGTCGCGGCCGTCGCCTGCAGCTTCCAGTCGATCCCCGCCGCACGCGGCTTTTGAGAGTCCGACGCTGCATGGGTGATGCCATCGAAGGGCTGCATCGGGCTTCGAATCTTTGGGTCTAGGGTTTACGGCTTAAACCGAACTGCTCGGAAATGAAACCCAGAAGCTTGGGGACTCGAATCTTTGATTTTGAACTTTTCGGGTGGGATTTAAGGCTTCGGGCTTTGAGAGCACGGATTGGGTAGGACGGTGTCGGTCGGCAGGCAGCTGAGCTACAGGTTTAGTGTGGTGCCTGAGATTTTGGGCACGAGGACTCCGGGTTTTTGGCTACGACTTAGAGTCGTAGACTCGATGGCTCAGGGCTTCCAAAAATACAGCGTGTGACGCTGAAGCTTTGACACCACATAGCATAGGATTTGTCATCTTAGCTCTTTCTCTCTGGCGTCTGGCTGTGATGGTTGCCATGATCATAAGGACCAGGAGGAGACCGAAGCGGAGGGTAGTGCTAGAGATGCTGACAAGACACGGGGTGGGACGAGAAACCCGACCAAGAGGACAGGGAGGAGGACGAGAAGAGAAGGAAGGGGCAAAGAGGAGAAGGGCGACAACGGCGACGATAATGTCCATGGCTCTGATGAGGACGATGATGATGTTGGTGATGATGATACGATGACAACGCCAACTGCGCTGACGACGGCGGTTGTTATGATGGTGGGTATACATGTGGGGATCTTGCCGGATGGTGACGACTGTGGGACGACGGTGGTGCGGTGTCTTCCCTGGTTGACACAATCCTCACCGCCGCTGCTATCACCATCATGATTGTCATAACTGCCTTTCTTGCAGCGGAGGCGTCATATAGCAGTACCAACAGCAACCGTCTTCTTGCCATTGCACTTCGAAATCTCGAAATCGAACAATCGAAAATCGGGGGG